GAATACTATTCAATCTTCAAGTAAGCAGGGAGCAACCGTTCTTGCTCACCCACCGATCGACTAATGCAATGGACTTGCTATCCCGTCCACATGAATTCCAAGCGCGGCCTAGAGATAGTGAGACAGCTTGTGAGTCAGATGAAGCTTAGACCTGCTGACAGTTCTGTGAGTCGCACATATAACGCTTATTATTTGAGCTTGCTGACAATACTCGCTTCTTTCAGCTTGCATTTTCCGCGTCCTTCGTATTTTAGTGATGAGCTATATGCGTTCTTTGTGCTAACAAACACATCGATGCACAAGTCTTTTGACAATACAAATATCCTGATTTATTGATATTTATGGCGTTTACGACGTCAGATGCAGTTTGCGACTCGATCTTTCCTTGACTTTACCTCACATTTCGTCCAGCCTTGCGAGAATTGACCCACGCTTTGGACCAACATGTTTACACTCAAATAAGCCACTCATTGCAAAGAGTCTCCTACTTTCCCGACAGAAATTCGGGTTCGATGCAGACAAGATGCAGAGGCCAAGCAAGTTCCTGCAGACTGCATCCCGTGCTCTTCCTGTCCTCCACTCGTCATCCCCACCGGAGATGTTCCAAGGAGGACGGGCCCATTATGGCGCTAGCTTCATCTGTTATGTCTGTGCCTAACATTATACTCCTTAATGAAGGGTCGTCTTTCGTATTGCGGTTGCGCTCGTCCATTTCCTCATTTCCACTTGTTCTTCAATTTTCGCATGTTCTTCTACGCCTCATGCGTCGCATATCCTTGCACTCATTACACTCATGGCACTCTTGTTGTTACTATACACATGCTGTAATGTATGCAACGAACCACGTTCCTTCCCATTGACCCAATTCTCTCAACATTTAAACCCGTGTGTTGTGTGCAACCGAAGCCAAACGACCCAGCAATATCCAAATACGACCCCGCTGCTGCTGCAATCTTCTGTTTGTTCCATCCACTCTGGGAAGAACACACTTCTCTCCATTGGTTTCACTCCACCACATCTCCGATCACATCATTCGTTGCCCTATGATCGCTTTATGCTCTCAAAAACTTGCTACCCAGTCACCTTTCTAACACGTCGCTCGCTCAAACTACCCCGCAATGCCACGTATACATACGACAGACCATGGTTAACTGTTCACTTGATATCGTACTCCACGAAGTGTCCCTGGCATCTCCGCAACTGGAACAAGATCATTGTAATGAAGAGCTACAATGACCGAATTTATTAACTGCGAGGAACGGAAAAGGCAGGAGACTCACTCGTAGCAGTGCTACCAGCATCTCCCATGTCCCATGCGACTCAAATCAAGCTCTGGACCTCCACTAGGTAACACTAATGCAGTCCGAGGATTTTAAAATGGTTTTCGAGAAGCGGGTGGTATCCAGAAAAAGAGCCGACGGTTTGGTCTCATCATCCGTCCATCTTGTTCCGGAAGAGCGAACGTCCACCTGTGGTCATCATGGGCGGTGCCTGCGAGTAGCTCAGCAGTGTCGTGCAGTGCGTGAGTTGAGTTTGATGAGTTCTCGCAGCCCGAGATCTTCAGATATGATGACTTTAGATCGCAGATATTGAAGGAAACTCCACGTTCCATCGTTCGAAGTGATGCGAAAGCAAGGTCGTGTTGTACTTTTAACACGTCAATAAAAAGGTCTCCGCTATGTGATTGGTCCGTCAGGAAATCACGGAACGATGTATGAAGGGGTCGGATGGGGGTAGATGAATTTGTCGTGCCGCTGAGGAGGGATCCCATATGTTCGACCATGACTTGCACTTCATAATGCTCGACTTTGTCTGGAAAATAGCGCCACGTGGCGTTCAAGGACTCCAACTTGGGGAGGAGTTCAGATGTGCCAAGGATTTAACCCATCACGGAATGAAATCTCATTGGCTGTTTGTGCTGAGACGCGGAATGTGTAGATTTGTCCACTCGCATGATCTCTGTCAAAATGGACTAATACATATCATACAACAAGTTACCCTGCTCAGCGGGATTGCGGGATACCACAGTATCGAAGGGCTCGATTGGTGATAAGCCAGGAGGGGGTGCTTTGATGAGTTTACAAGCAAGACGTGCCCACTCGAAAAGGCAATCGGCTTTCTCAGTGAGCGCTGCGTGCTCTCTACCCCCAAAATCAGAAAGCCCTTCCAGCTCGTTCGATATGTAAGCGTGGATGTCACCTTCCACGGTGGCTCGTGGAATGTCGTCCATGGATATCTGTTCAATATGTCGAGTACCTGTAAGCTCTGCTTCTATATCGTGGAGCGGGCGAGAGGAAATGATGATCCGGAAGTTGTTCGGGAGGTTTGTGATGTGGGTGATAATTGGGTCTTGAATTTTACCCACAAGAATGGGTAGAAGGTCGCTACATATCTCCGCTACTTTGCCACTTTCGACCAGTGCGTCGATGACGACCACGACAGGCCCCACGGGTGACTCAGAAAGCTTCCCTAGCGGTTCCATAATAATCTTCTGCCACTGCTGTACGACATCCGCTGTAGTCTTGAGCGCATTTGCATTGTGGACTGCATCAGCTGACGCTCGTCTCATCTCCGGACGACGGGCGGCCAGGTCGCGCACGATAGTGGAGAAAACTATTTTATGGCAATGGTCCATGTTTCAGTCGAAGCAGTGATAAGAACTAAGCCCACCCGCCCTGATGAACGAGCTAGCGATTGTGTGAACAGTGGCTGATTTACCCATCCCAGCAGAGCCAGATAGCCATAGCACGCGTGGAACATCATCTTTGCTATTGTTGATCCATCCCATGATCTTGGAGAGTGTCCGTGCGTGTCCTCGGTAGGTCTCGCTTCCTAGTATCTAGTCCTGCACCCTGTGCATAAGCCATACCGCTGAGGTCCAGTATTTCGCCTGAAGAAGTATTAATAGATCTTGAGTCAGGAGCACGTCCGAATTCTTACTTGTACGATGGACATAGATGGCTACGTCGCGAGCAACTTGGTCCCAGAAGAGTTTGCATGAGCGCATCAAACATATTATTATACTGTCGTATGGTATCGTCTGTTTCCGAAATGACATTCTCTTCCCTGTGATAAGACTGAAAAACTGCGAAGTGTAACGGCTTGTTGGAGACTGACGAAATTTTTTTTCTCCGAATAATCCCTGATGAAATGGACACATTCAAGAGTATGCAGAGAGATCTATCCAAAAATAGTGCTCATCGACGAGATCTGGTGAAGCGTGTCATCTTGTATTACGAAGTCGTACACTTGACCCAACTTCTTGAGAAGGCTGAGTATCGCTTCATCGTGATCCGCTTGAGCGAGAATAATCTGCACACAGAATAACTGAGCAGTAAATATAAATAAGAGCGAAATCAAACGTACTTTAGATGCACACCCAATGCCATCTTTGCATGCTGATGTACCTGTGGAACGGTATTAGTTCAGTTCTGATGAGGAAAAGAGGTCGTACCCCCGCGACCTTCCCGATGACAGTGTCGAATATCCTGAGGGGTTGAAGATATGTGGTCTCCATATTGTCCATATGATCGAGAGCTGCTGGTGCATTTTGACCTGCGGACGCTACTGATCTCGCAGGTTCAAAAAGTGGATTCATCTTATCCGTCATACCATCACGGGCATCCTGAAGTACCATGTCCACTGATTGGGGGTCGGCACCTTGTGTCATACCAACAGATTCCTGAACCTGTGCAGGGAGCAGGAGTTAGACAGAATGGGCAAAAATTGAAATTGTGACCCACCTCAGTCGGTATTCGGAACCGGTCTCGGCCAAGCAAACCAGCCCTTCCCACACAAAACTCCAAATCCTCTATAGCTTATCGATTGAACCCACGAAGATTTGTTTATCCTCCTTAGAATTATCTTTCACCGCGATTCCAGACATTTACTATCACTACCCTCAGCAAATGACACTCCCTCCTGTATCTCCTACTCAAAGATTAAATTGGTCTCTTTCCCCCGACACATTTAATTTTCTTCTTCGCTTCATCTACAAAGGCCGCCACTAGTACTGCGATTAGTGCTGAGGTGGCTCGGCTATGGCTGGTTCGGCTTCGGCTTTTATTGGTTATGCGGCAGTTTGGTTAGTAATATCGTGTTCTCCTAAGAGCGAGGAACGAGCACGTGGTTAGAATGTAGTCTATGCCTAATCCGAGTAAGGAAGACTTACGCCTTCTTTCTTTCTCCCGTCTCAACTCTCGAGTCTTATCAGCGCTAGTCATTGTCATCACTCAGTAGACTCGTGCTTGAGCTACTGGTTTCAAAACAGCAAGATTTAACAATTACATTGTCCATTATAAAATGGATAGACTTTTTTCGGACCCAAGTCTGTTAGTATGCCCAGATTTCATGAGCGTGTGGTATCAGGCCACACGTATGGCTATGATCATGCCTAACGTTACCGAAGCTCAAGCAGTTGAGATGTTATGCACCACTTGGGTACTAACCAATGAAGATTTGTGCCTTCAATGGCAAGAACAGGTAGTTGAAGACGAACGACTAAGTGCTAAACACAAGTGCTTAGCTGACAAAGAAGCCGAATGTGAGCGTCTGGCTCTTCAGCTAGAGGAAAACACAGCACAGGTGGATGAGAAGAAGAAGAATCAGTCCAAACACTCTACAATTACCTTGAGGCCCTGTCCTTTCACAAATGATGAGGAGGCCTTAGTATCAGAGTTCGCCTTGCAAAAGATAGATAGCGGGAAGTATGTCGAGCTTTACTACTGGATGAATCAAGGACTCGATGATGCATTAATCAACTATTGCACTCGGGATGATGACAGTATGGTGCCATCCATTGGGGAAGATGATTCTACAGTATGGGTTAGTGCAGCAACCTCAAAGCCTGCAGCAGGAGTCATAGCAGATAGAGATCTCTCACCAGTAGACTTTGCCCAGGCTATTCTGCGCATAATGGCAGCCATTGAAGAATGTGACTGGACTAAGCAGTGTGTCTTGATGCTTGCTCAATTCTGGGGAGCTATCATGCTCCATCGTTACTGGAACTCCAATGATCTGTTAGCTAGATGTGCGATTCTTCTCTATCAAGAAGAGCAGTGTCGTGCTTGGCATAACGCCATCCTTTCATCCAATGGTGCATGGGACATATCCATCATAGATGAACCCACTCTTGTACGAACATTCGAACGCATCTATCGAGCTTCACTCATACGTGTTACAGTGCCCCACTCTTTTTCCCATCATCACTGTGGACTCCTATATGGCTGTACTTCTAACGCTTCCTTTTCACTGCACTGTTTCCTCATGGTCTCCCTTATCTTTGACTCATACCTTGTTTTCCCATGAACCTTCCTTTCTTAGTAGTTGTTACCCTTTGCCCAGCCTGGTCTGTGCACAATTCCCTTACATATATAAACCCTAGTTACCACTTGTATTTTCTCTAACTTGAATCTACTCAGTTCTCTTTGATACTCAAACTCTAGCTCCTTGGGAAGGAGGCTAGCCATTGTCCCATTTGAACCTTAGATCCTGTGGGAGTCTAAGTGATTGCTCCTGAGGGAGGCATTGACTTGATAAGGCTTAGTCCTTGATTGACCTTGATCTTGATTCCTTTATTGGAATGACGCTCTATCTGAGTTCGTAACAATATGCACAATGAACACATCACCTGACATTCCAGTTAGTTTTAACATCTCTATATCTCGAGCACCACTGACTTATTGTTTCTTTCAAAATTTTCACCTGATTCTGCATCTGCATTGTGTTTGCATTTGTGTTTGCATTTGCATTTGTGTTTGCGTCTGCATGGATATGAACACTTTGTTCGGCATCATGTCTGCGGTCCACAGCCCCAGAGCAATAGCTCCAACTCATGAGGTAGACGAAGTTCTACATGTCACTCGAGGCATTCAAGGCATTCAGCTTCCCCACCAGCTCAGAGACACTCTGTGTCTCCGAGCGCAGGTAGGAGAACCAGCGGTCTGTGTAACCCCAGGCCAGCATCACAGCAGCAGGGTTTTCAAGACAGCGCACACAGCACTTGCTCCTCAGCAGTGTGCGCAGTCTGCTTGGGGAGTCACAGTCACAGCTTCATCGAGTGCACGGCTGAACGTCTGTGGGACAGCAAGTTCCAGAGTGTTACCACCCACGTCAACAAATCTCTCACTGTGTGAGGATCTGACAAAACTCTATGTGTCGACTGGCAACGAGCCTGCAGCTGCGCCAGTCATGCGCACAATGAGTGACATGTATGTTCAGGGTGTCTTGCCACTGCTCATGGTGCCCAGCAATGCTCTCGAGCACAGACGACTTCATCCAGTGTCCCTGTATAATGTGGCAGTCTGGGAGGACAAACTACATACATATGACCTTCTTGCATATCCCAACTTGCTGCATGGACTTCAGTCTGGCTTTAATATCAATCTCCCCACCATTGTTCGCACTCAATCCCCACCTAATAGTCCTTCTCTTGTCACATTTCGTGATGTTTTCCAAAAGATTCTTGCTCGAGAACTTAATACTGGACGTTACATTGGACCCTTTTCTGCTATTGAACTACTCTCATTGCTTGGACCCTACCAATCCTCTCCCGTCTCTATTATACCCAAACCAGGGAAAGCAGGAAAATTTTGCATTATTCAAAACTTCTCCTTCCCATTGGTACCTTCACTGTCTTACCCTAACACTTCAATCAACTCAAACATTAATTCTGATGACTTCCCATGCACATGGGGAACATTTGACACCATATGCACAATCATTCATTCTCTTCTGCCAGGTTCACAAGCTGCCACACACAATGTTGCTGAGGCTTATCACACCATTCCATTACACAGTGCGCAGTGGCCAGCTGCAGTCGTCCTTCTCCCTCATGGGGACTTATGTGTGGACACATGTGTTTCATTCGGGATGGGTCCCTCTGCAGGAACTTATGGTCATGTCACAGACGCTGGAGCTGACTTGTTGCGAGCTGAGGGTCTTGGACCATTGGCTAAATGGGTGGATGATCACCTTTTCTTCTGTATACTACATGAATTCCTGGTGAGCTACAATAAGCTTAGGAAGGAGGTGCACATGGCATTGGAAGCAGGAGGGAACAGACAGTCAGGTGGGTGCTTGTGGCACAAAGGTCAAATATTTGATGATGAAACCTTTGATGTCTACACAGAAGATTGTCAGTTTCAACTCCGTGATCTGTCTCAATCCTCACTGCATGCAATTATTGATCAAAAATTCACGTTCGCATTCGTGGACATTGACCGAGCTTCCCAGCCGCTGGGCATCCCATGGGAGCCATCCAAAGATACAGCCTTTGCCTATGAAGCATTATTCCTTGGATTATTGTGGGGAATCCCCAAACTATCAGTTGAGTTGTCGCCCACAAAGAAAGGGAAATACTTGGCGGCAATCACGGAATGGTGTTCTCACATGATGCATGTCTTACTGGATGTACAGAGGCTGTACGGCAAACTCTTACATGCATCTCTGGTCATCTGAATGGGACAAGCCTACCTCACCTCATTGGAGACCATGCTTGGGATCTGCCATAGTCATCCTTTCGTGCCGCACCACTCAGTCCGACATCTCCATGACAACCTCAACTGGTGGTGCTCCAAGCTTGCCAAATCTTTCATCAGAAAGACCATATCCCAGCCTTGTACCCTTGTCGACATTTGTGCCTTCTCCGACGCAAGTTCAACCATTGGGATTGCAATTGTTATCAATGGGTATTGGCGTGCATGGACCCTTCGGCCAGGATGGCAGACACTCAATGGCCAGTGAGACATTGGATGGGCCGAGGGTGTCGGTTTTGACTTACTCACACTCGCCATTCTCAATGCTCACCAAGAGCAGCCTTTCAACCACTTCCAAGTCTTCTGCGACAACCAAGGCATTGTCAATGGTTGGCAGAATGGGAGGAGTCGCAACTGGGCCACCAACCTCGTCTTTCGCAGAATCCATGACCGTCTCGAATGTGTCTCCCCAAATGTCTCATTTCACCTATGCTATGTCCCTAGTGCCGACAATCTGCAGATGGTCCTTCCAGGGGAGTGTTTCCCCCCAGGAACCTCCTCCTCCCTCCACTTGTCCTTCCAGATGATCTCTCCACCTTCCTTGTTGATGCAGATCTCTCTTCAGGGCCACCAAACAACATTAGTGAGGGATTCTCCCTCAATGGGGAGAAGGATATTAACAGACTGGTTGATGAGGCGGATGATGGAGAATGGGGAGACCAGCTCTGCGAGTTCCACAATGCCTGGCAGGATTAACTCCACTTGATTCTGAAATGTGCCCCCCTTGATAGTGCAATCCCCTGCTGCGCAACCTTGTCAGTATCGTACAGATCTAACACCATGAACATCACAACTATGGCCACATTGTCTGGCGAGGGAACGTCTTCTGTTATGGGTACTAGGAATAGCGAGGTCTCGTCTTGATCACACAGGAGCACAAGTCGCAGAAATGGATAGTGATCTGGATCGCATCCTAGTAGTCATAGCTCATTCTCATGCTCCCAGCACATGAGAGACTTATGGATCAGGACTTTTGGTCTTTCACATCTTTTGTGATGAGTGAAGCATTCCCGAACATCAATGCTGCCCTGCATCATCCGTCATGGTGTTAGCATTCATAGCATCATGTGCTGGGATGTACTTGGGAAAAACTCTTGAGAACTATCTCTATGGTATTCGTGCATGGCATCTACTTCATGGTCAAGACTGGCTCATCAACTGAGATCAAGTGTCGGGTGTGTTAGAGGGAGCCAAACGTCTCGCACCCAAGACTTCAACTTGTCCAAAGAGAACACCATTCATGGTGGAACTCATCAGTGCCCTACAGTCTGCTCTCGACTTGACCAATCCTCTGCACGCTGCAGTGTATGCTTGCCTGACAACTTCCTTCTTCACCATTGCATGCATTGGTGAATTCATGGTACCCACTCTGCGGGGCTTCGACCCTAATATTCATGTCAAAGTGGGTGACATACGAGCCAAAGAAGACCAGCAAGGCCTTCGTGTGACAGTATTTTGTCTTCCATGCACCAAAGTTGCTATAGCTGGAGAGGATGTGTTTTGGGCATCCCAGTCTGGTGTAGTAGACCCCCAGGCAGCCCTAACCAATCACCTCGCCGTCAACAAGCTTAATCCCACAGATCCATTGTTCAGTTGGAGACATCACTCTGGGTTATGTCCTCTGACGAAGACTCAGTTTATGAAGTGCCTTCAAGATGCCAACAATCATTTGGGTGGAGAATCATTGAAGGCACATGGCATACAGATTGGTGGGATGTTAGAGTATTTATTGCGAGGAGTTCCTTTCAAAATGGTGAAAACTATGGGGTGCTGGCAAAGTGATGCCTTCCTGGTGTATCTTCACAAACATGCAGTGATATTGGCACCCTACCTCCAGGACCATCCAATTCTAGAGCCTTTCATGCGCTACACACTTCCGTGATTAATTTATGTAAGTGTCACGACTCTCCTTTGAATTTGGGGCCGAGCTAAAGCTAGATGTGTCGTCTTGCTCCTTTAGGTTCAGGGTATCTCAGCTCGCTCTTGCCCAGGCTTCTCAAGGAGGTACAAGGCTTGTTTTGGTCGAAAAACCCCTGTGGGTTTTTACCCAAAACACTCATTTAATTTCTTTCTCGTAATTTAAATGTTTCACTCATTTGTTACTTGTCGTCTGTCTGTTGTTATTCCTTGCTGCAATTCGATCTTCTCCCGAGGTCAAAAGCATAGAGATGGGCTCACATAATTTTTTGGTTCGGTTCATGTCAGCCAGCCATGTGAACCAACCTTAAGCCCATTATGTGTGAAAGGCAGCTTGAGCTGGATGAAACTCACTTTAGCCAACTTGACCCCAATGTGCATGTGACCTCATCTGTTGGAATCTGTCATTTTCCTGTCTAACAATTCTAATATCTTACTGTACTATGAACAAGGTCCCCGCCCGAGTTGATGGCAGATTTAGGGTAGGAGACATGCTAGGATCTGGCTCATATGGTAAATAATATGTTGTTGTACATGGTTTTTTTTTGAAATTGGGTGCACAATGCACATACTAGGTGTTGTGTACCATGCACAAAACATCATCAACAATGATGATCTTGCCATCAAACTCGAGCCTCTTGTCAACAACTCATCTTCTTTGGAGCATGAATATTGCATTTTGAAGCAACTTGAAGGTGGAGCTGGGATCCCACATGTTGAGTGGTTTGGTAGAGAGGCAACATTTGACACCCTTGTCCTCGACCTCCTCGGACCATCTTTACATGATCTCTTCCTTGCGCAAAATCAAAAATTCACCCTTCATACCATCCTGAATATTGGAGACCAATTGGTAAG